AAGAGACACAAAGCAGGTCGGGCTTGGTGGCTAAACCTGTAATCCCAGCACTTTGGGAGGTTGAGGCGAGTAGATGACCTGAGCTGGCGGCTTCAAGACCAGCCTGGGCAACTTGGCAAGACCTCGTCTCTACAATAAAAAAAAAAGTAGCATGGTAGTACGCGCTTGTAGTTCCAGCTACTTGGAAGACTGAGGCTTTAAGATCTCTGGAACCCAGCAGGTCGAGGCTGCGGTGGCCAGGAGCGACCACTGCACTCCAGTCTGGGTGACTGAGTGAGACTCCAACTCAAAAAAATTAAAAATTAAAAAATAATAGTAATAATACATAAAAAAAGAAGAAGATACAGATTCCTGGCCCTGCCCATATAAATGAAGTCAGAATCCAGGAGCAGCCCCTGGGATCCTGATTACAGCTATGCGTCTAGCCATTTACTTTGAGGAACTTTGTCCCAAGTGCCATGTTTTTAAAGAAAGCATTAAATGGAGATTAGAATAGACCCAGCACTCTCCCTACCAGCCTCCCTCACCGGAGGCCATGGTCCCTTAAGCAGCCAGGAGTTTGTGATCACCTGAGGCGAAAGTCTCATTTCTCTCATGGGCAAAGACGCACAAGCTGACATGTCACTGGTAAAGCATCTCACTTGTCTGATTGGCATACCTTTTTATTTATTTATTTATTTATTTAAATTAAAATTTGTTTTTCTTGTGTTGGAGTCTTACTCTGTCACCCAGATTAGAGTACAGTGGCACGCTTACGGCCACCGCAGCCTTGACTTGCTGGGCTCAGGCAATCCTTCTGCCTCAGTCTTCCAAGTAGCTGGAACTACAGGCAGGTACCACCATGCCCAGCTAGTGTTTCGATTTATTGTAGAGATGAGGTCTCACCAAATTGCCCAGGTTGGTCTCGAACCCGTGAGCTCAGGCACTCCTCTCACCCCGGCCTCCCAAAGTGCTGAGATTATAGGTGTGAACCACCACACCTGGCCCAGCATATCTTTCTAGTAGAAACACCCGCATGGTCTTACTGCACAGGACTGAACCAGTGCCACCCTCTGCAAGGCAATTTTGACAGCAATTCTGCTTAGACATTTAACCTAAGGAAACAGACAAATGGGCTGGAAGGTTTACGCACATGACTGTTCACCAAAATGTACACTTGCGGACACCAAGGCCATGCCCCTCAAGAGGGCTTAGAGGGAAGTCACTTGAACATGGGGTGTGTGTGTGAGTGACTGTCCATGGTTTCAGCCTCTCACAGTGAAACTTGCAGAGAGTAAGAAATTGCCATGTCAACGTCTGTTTCAGTTTCAGTTCCTTGCGTACAGATTGTTCTCAGAGGTCCGAGAACCAGCCTCTCAGGAGGATGGAGCCAGTCTTCCCTGGAGGCCCTTGTACCTTCCTTCTGCAGACTGGCAGAGAGCCGCCCTCTCTCTGTGGAGACAGACCGCCTTCCAAGAGCTGTTGAAGGAGAAAGCCTTTCTCGTAGGTGTCCCCTTCCTCTGCATCACACCTCGTCCTCACTCGAATTTGTGAGAACTGTCTCCCCAGAGGCAAGAGCAGCACTTACGTTGTTTGGTTGGAATCTTTTGGTTGCAGCTGTAAGAAATGATACAGAAAGGCCCTGCCACGCTTTCCATTTCTCCCAACAGTAACCGTTGTGCACGTGTCTGCTGGACTCTGTGATGCAGGCGTGCTTTTCTGAGCTGCCCATCCCCTGAGCGCAGTTGCTGGGTGCTGGCCTCTCCCCTGAGCACAGTCACTGGGTCTGGCTCTGTTTGGCGCTGCTCTCACCAGCCTACCCCTGACACTAATATATCTCTAGGATGTTTGCCTGGTTGTTTTGGTCTTTAGAAAAACAATCTCAAGATTGATTGTTTTTATTACGTATCTTCAATTTTTTTTTTTGAGTTGGAGTCTCACTCTGTTGCCCAGGGCGAAGTGCAGTGGCACGCTCATAACCACTGCAACCTTGACCTGCTGGGCTCAGTCTATCCACCTCTGCCTTCCAAGTAGCTGGAACTACAGGCATGCACCACCATGCCTGACTGATTTTTTTTTTTTAATTGTAGAGATGAGGTCTCGCCAAGTTGCCCAGGCTGGTCTCGAACCCATGGATTTAGGCAATCCTCTCACCTCTGCTTCCCAAAGTGCTGGGATGACAGGCATGAGCCACCACACTCAGCCTATATCAACTCTGGTGCTCTGTGTTTACGGAATGATGCAGCTGTGAACAGCTGTGCATTCACCAGCATCTCGAAGGAACCAGTCTTGCCTCCAGGGCACTCGCACCTTGCTTCCGTGGTTGTACCACGTATGCATGTGTCCCTGAGCAGGGTGTTGTCGCCTGGCTTTGGCCTTTACTCAAATGGGAGTGTGCTGCACAAATGTTTCTGTGACATACTTTTTTTCACGCATTGTGAGGTTTTGAGATTTGTCCACATTGATTCATGAAACTTCTAAGATTTTGCAAACAAGAAATGTGCTATTTGAAGCATGCTTACTACATCAAGATTTCTTCAGTTACTCTCTTTCCTGCTGCTATAGTGTAATAACCGAACAGGGAACAGGTATGTGGATGCCACAGGTTACTGTTGAAAACTGGGTGGTGTGCTAGAGAGTTTCTTGTAGAAGTTCCAATTTGAACAGTTTTATTTGGCCTCATATTCAGAGTTAATAAACACTATGAGTTTCAGCAGTAAATCAGTTCATACAAATGGTCTTTTTATACTTAGAAAAAAGTGTAAAAAAAAAAAAGTGTTATGGTGCTAATATATTTGTGCTAGCATGGTTTCATGCTACGGAAAGGGCGTAAGAATAGACGTCATTTTTTTCGTGACCCGCCTGGGCAGGCGAGACCTCATCTCTACAATAAAATCAAAAAATTAGCCGGGTGTGGTAGCGCGCGCCTGTAATTCCGGCGAGTCGGAAGAATCACCAGAGCCCAGCAGGTTGAGGCTGCGGTGGCCGGGAGCGGCCACTGCACTCCAGTCTGGGTGACAGAGTGAGACTCCAACTCAAAAAAAAAAAAAAGAAGTCATTCTTGCCAAATAAGGTTGGTTTTCTTCCTGTGGGGGTCTTTCTTTCAGCTGTAATTTCTTTATAACACAGGGACACAGATCTTTGTGAGATAAAATGACAAACTGTTGTATAAACCTGACATGGATTTGTGTGTTCTGTCCTCCACATGGAATTAAATTGCTCCTTTCTCTCAGCTAACTTACAGAGACTGGTTACTGCTGGAACTAGAAATTCAACCTGAAGTTGATGTTCTTTCAGATACAGAAAGGTAAGTGTTTAAAGGAGCTGCCTTTTAAAATGTTACCACTTTCCACACTGTCTTAAAGCCTGTATTTGTAGCCTCAATTTAATGTTTGGTTTGTGTAATCTTTTAGCACAATTTCTTTTTTTTTTTCTTTATAAAGATGCGGGGTACAATTCAGGGTCAGGTATACAAATTAGCACAATTTCAATTGTTCATTCCTTTGTTCAAGAAACACTTACTGAACTCTTCTTGTGTGCCAGACACTTCTAGAATGTTCTAGAAGCTGGGGGTACAGAGGGAAAGAGATAGGCCTGCCCATATGGCATCTTTGTACAGGTCAGGGCAGATAAGGTACCTACAGGGCACTCGCTTAGGCTCCACCCACCCCAGCTGGGCTCTTGTCAAGATGTTGTACACCTGTGTCTATGTGCTGGCAACCAGGAGGTAGACACAGAAGTGGACTGAAAGTAGGGATGAGCTCTGAAGACACCAAATAGGGCCATGTGCGAATGAGTGACCAGCTGGGAACAGAGAGACTGGTGTGGAGCCGGGGTGGGGTGAGGACTGGTGGGGCTGCCTTTGTGGTGGGGGTACCAGGAGCCAGCTGGATGAAGGATGGAGACCCATGCATCACAGGGCTGATGACTAAGACCATTGGAAGGTCAGGTATGCTGTGCTGGGCATGTGAGTGGGGAGCCTAGAGCACCCTTGGGTTTGTGAAGTTAGGGGTGGAGGTCAGTCAGGAAGAGAAGTGTGGTCACCACAGGTATGGAGAGAGCCTGGTTGGCCATGTGAGCTCCTGGGGCACCTACCACACCAGCTTTGGGAGAGGGTCTGCGTCAGCCACCCTACACCCCTGTCCTTCCCACTATCAGAGACCCTCCTGGCATGTGTGTGATGCTGTCTCCCCACCCTGGACCAGAGTGTCATATTTTGGGTAGAGCAAATAGACGTAACTGGAAAAGAATGCAGTGGGACAGTGAGAATTGCCAGCTGCCTCCTCCACATGGCACATTTCTCTTATGTTTTTTCTTCATGGCAGAGTCTGGGAAGAAAGGAATTCTGAGGGAATAACTGTGATATGAGGATCACAAGGGCCACTTTTAACCCCTTAGGTCCCTGTTGCCTGGAAGCTATTCAGATGTATTCCTGGGATTTCCCTTCTTAAGATCACAAGTGACACTTAAATACATTCTGAACAACTTCCAGACAGCATAGAGGTACATGCCTTAGTCATGTCCACAATTGTGGGGCCCATGAAGTGTTATCTTAAGTTGGACTCTTTCTGCATCATGGACCATGGTGTCTGTGGGTCTCTGTACTGCCCTTTTCAATGAGTATGTCCTCAAGACCCTTCTTGTCAGTGCTTACAGAACCCACCCCTTCCAGTGCTGCCCACACATGCAGTCTGTATGGACCTGGCTCCTCAGCCATGCCTGCTGGTGGGGTGGTGGTGAGACAGCCTCAGGTGACTCACCTGCTCTGTTCACCTCCGGGAAGACACCTGAGTGGGCTTCTATCACATGGAGAAGGTTCACAGAGGTCGCCCTGCCCTGCCGTCAGTGAGGCCTTATTTCCATTCCGGATCCCGGGCTGTTGGTCCTAACCTCCAGCCGTCATGAGCGCTTTATGTTCCTCACTGTGGACCTCCTCCCGGGTCAGGACACATTTTTCGGGATGGGTCTCAGTGTTCACTGTTGCAGACAGGACTTCCAGCAATGGGCGATCCACGAGCACTACCTCCCAGAGCCCTCTGCCTCCGGGGGCTGCAACGGAGACCTGGAGGCTGCATGCACAGTACTGGCCAACGCACTGATGGACTTCCACCAAAGGTCAGCAGTGCACATATTGGAGGGGCCCTGCTTTTAATCTTGGTGGCTCTGAGAATTCATTGTATTCCTCTCAGTCCAGTTGGTTACACAAAGCATGTCTGAGCATATCACAGCAAGTCTGAGTCTGCTAGAAATAAAATTGTTACCTTCCATGGTTGGATTTGTCCACAGCAACAACTTGTGTTTTGTCATCTGGTATTCAGGCTCAGCATCTATGGGGAGTGGAACCTATGGTCTAGCAAATAAACACTGAGCATCACCTCATCTCAGTGTCTAAGAAGTCTCAGTGCAGAGCAGTTCATTAGGCCTTGCCTGTGGACTGAGTGATGGGCTCCCGTGTGATCCAGGCTGTGCTGGGTGTTGTGTCTCCTCATCCTTGGCATTGCTGAGTAGTGACTCTGCAGGTCCTCATATCTCTCCAGGGAGTGGCTGTCAGAGTACAGGTAGGGCAACCCTCATCCGAAGTCCAAAAGCCTCCGACATTGGAAACTGAGCACTCATACAACACTCAGGAAATGCTCATGAGGGCACTTGGGTTTGGGATTTTCTGATTAGGCATGCTCGAGTAGCAAGCATAATACAAAAATTCCAAAATCCAAAAAAGCCCACAAAATCCAAGATGCTTCCCAAAATGAGAAGTCCCAAGCATTTTGAATAAGGGATATCCCACCTGCTTTGAGGCTGTGAGAGCCTTCACTTTCCAAGGCTTAGGTGATACATCATGTTTACTTGTAAGAGATGAATTCTATAATTATACTCTAAGAGAAACTGTCCAGGCAAATCTACACTGAGGACACAGCACATTGGAGTTTTTCCCACACCCCTTTGTTCTCCACAGGGTCTGGGAACGTGTTTGTCCAGTCAGCACAGCTCAAGTCAGTGTGAGACTCCATCTCCCATATGATAGTTTTGTTTCAGCACAACCCACAGGGTTAGAAGTTCTTCCTGCTGTGCTTAGGGGCTAGGAGCGGCACAGACCGGGTGAAGGGAAGTGGGAGCTCTGTCCCCAGGATTCTTGAGAGCAGCTCCAGAGGGTGGGCAAATGTACGTGCCCTTTCCCTCCATGTCCCTTCACCTGGCAACTGTGAATCCCCTTGCTGTATGGATTTGCATGTTCTGGACATTTAATGTAAATGGAATCATAAAAGACGTAGCCCTTTGTGTCTGGCTTCTCTCACTGAACAACATGCTTTTGAAGTTCATCCATGTTGTGGCAAGTATCAGTACATCATTTCTTCTTATGCCTGAATAAACTCATGGGCGATGTGCTGGCTAAAGCAACTCCATCTTGCATGCTGTTCTGCCCTATTGATGTCTGAGTAACCCCAGTTCCAAGAAGGCCTCTGGATTTCTACTGCATCTACTGTTACCCTGAATCCTGCCCTTAGGCAGACTCACGTAGCATTCTGGCCTTTCCCTGAGGGGCCATCTTCAATTGTCTGGCACTTTCTTTCCCTGTGGTGTATAAGCTGTGGGTCTGGGGGTGAAAGCACAGGAATTCACCATCTTGTCTTGAGGCCACCCAAGACTGTAGCTTCTGCTCAGAAGTCCCTGTTCTTGTTTCTTTCTGACAAATTGGATTTTTCTGCCTCTTCCTTCAGCCTCTCATCTCCCTTGGCCTTTAGGGATAGGTTTACACAGACCTGCTCGCTGCAGAACAGGAGGATATATCATATTTTGTTTATCCATTCATGTGTTGATGGACATTTAGGCTGTTTCCACCTTTTGGTTGTAACAAATAATGCTGTAAATATTTACTTACAGATTCCTGTGTGGGCCTGTGTTTTCATTTTTCTTGGGTATATGCATAGGAATTTCTGGGTCATATGGCAGCTCTTTTGGGGGAACTACTGGACTATTTTCCAAAACTGGCAGCACCATTTTATATTCCCACCAGCCGTGTCAGAGGCTTCTGATTTTGCTACATCCTTACCAACACTTGTCATCTGACTTTTGGTAATAGCTGTGCCATCCTAGTGGGCATGGGGTGCTACTTCATTGTGGTTTTGACTTGCATTTCCCTGATGGATAATGGTGTTGGGCATCTCTTCATGTGCTTATTGACCATTTGCATATCTTCATTGGAGAAATGTCTATTCACATCCTTTGCCCATTTTAAAATTGAGTTACAGTCATACACCACATAACATTTTTGTCAACAGCAGGTTACATATATGAGAGTGGTTCCATAAGGTCATAATACTATATTTTTACTGTACCTTTTCTATGTTTAGGTACACAAATACTTACCATTGTGTTACAGTTGCCTACAGTGTTAATAAGGCAACATGTACTGGTTTGTTGTGTAGGAGCAACGGGCTGTGCCATCCAACCTAAGTGTGTAGTAGGCCATGCCATCCGGGTTTGTATAAGTGCACCTACACCCAGTGATGTTTGCACAACAGCGAAATCGCCCCAGCAATGCATTTCTCAGAGCATATCCCCGTCATTAAGTGATTAACGTATAGTGAGTGCTTTCCTTACTGAGTTGTATGAGTTCGTTCGTTCTTTCCTTCCTTCCTTCCTTCCTTCCTTCCTTCCTTCCTTCCTTCCTTCCTTCCTTCCTTCCCTCCTTCCCTCCCTCCCTCCCTCCCTTTCTTTCTTTCTTTCTTCTTTTTGAGTTGGAGTCTCACTCTGTCGCCCAGACTGGAGTGCAGTGGCCACTCCCGGCCACCACAGCATCGGCCTGCTGGGCTCCGGCGATCCTTCCGCCTCAGCCTTCCAAGTAGCCGGAATTACAGGCATGCACTACCACGCCCGGCTAATAATTTTTTGATTTATTGTAGAGATGAGGTCTCGCCAAGTTGCCGAGGCGGGTCGCAAACCCACGGGCTCAGGCAATCCACTCACCTCAGCCTCCCAAAGGCACGGGATTACAGGCTGAGCCACCAAGCCCGGCTGAGTTCTTTATTTTAGATACAAGCTCTTAACAGACATATGATATGTAAATATTTTCTCCCACCCTGTGAATTCTTTTTACTTTTGGTAGTCTTTTGATGCATAAAAGTTTTAAATTTTGGTGGTCCAGTTTATGTTTTAAGTTTAGCTCATAGATTCTTTTATCCTTGTTGAGCTATTTTGTGTTGGGTGTGAGGTAAAGTCCAACTTCATTCTTCTGTGTGTGGCTGTCCAATTGTCCCAGTACCTTTGGTTGGAAAGTCTTTTCTTTCCTCACTGAATGGGCTTAGCACTCTTCTCAAAAATCAGCTGATCATTCATGTGCGGATTTATTTCTGGACTCAGTTCTGTTCCATTGGTCTATATGTCTATATGCCAGTACTATATCATTTTGATAGCTTTGTAGTAGGTTTTGAAATTGGAAAATGTGAGTTCTCCAACTTTGTTTTTCTTTTTCAAGATTGTTTTGGCTATTCTGGGTCCTGTGTGGTTCCATCTGAATTTTGGGAATAGCTTGTCAATTTCTACACAGCCAGCTAGGATCCTGATAGGGACTGCGTTTAATCTGTAGGTCATTTTGGGTACTATTGCCATCTTCCTTTCTCAGTTATTGCTAGTGTAAATACCACTGGTTTTTGTATATTGATTTGCAAAACTCATTTATTGGCTCTACTGATTTTTTCTAAGGATTCTTCAGGTTTTCTTTTTTTTTTTGAGTCGGAGTCTCACTCTGTCGCCCAGACTGGAGGGCAGTGGCC